TTTAACATAACAGCAAATGTACAACGTGATGGACATTTGCTGTTATGTTAAACTTATATTAAAGTTTTTCTTCATTACTCATTCAAACCGTCACCAACCATTATTACGTAGAGAAACGTTTATACGTCAATGTCTACTAGTACGCACATGTAAAAGGCTTGCACTAATGACTAGGACCTTGTAACGTGGAGTGGATTTACAAAGTTATTGGCTTGGGCAACAACTAGTAAGAGAAGTTTTAACATAAACTTGAGTTTTCTAAGTAATTTTACCAGTGTCTAAGGATATTAGGGGAAAGAAAATGTTTTCATTATGTAAAGTAAATACTTTAAAATGAAACCAAGTACAAACAAGATGTAGCTTAATAAAAGGGAAGAAAACGACGATTTTTGGCACAATGAAACATGAAAGTTAAAACTTTTCCAGCGTAAGTAACTGTTATTGTTAAACTTAAAGCTTTATATTTCATTATGGTAGAATTCGCCATTTTATGCCTTTTACTTAACTGTATACTATAACACAAGTTGCCTAAAAAAAGAAACGGAAGAGATTACGCCATACTATAAAGTCATTACAGTAAAATACATGCCACAATACGTTCTACCAATCAAAGTTAAAGCAGTTCAACTGTATCATAGAAGCTCCATGTCAAATCGTTTCACACTATGTTTACACATTTCAAATTGAATCTTTTCATACCATACACATTCCAAGATAAATCATTTCACTATTCTACAAACTCAAAGTTAAAATTCTTAAATCATTTCACGCTATATTCTACATACATACCCTAAGATAAATCAATTCACTATTCTACAAACTCAAAGTTAAAATTCTTAAATCATTTCACGCTATATTCTACATACATACACCAAGATAAATCATTTCACTATTCTACAAACTCAAAGTTAAAATTCTTAAATCATTTCACACTATATTCTACATACACACACACCCCAAGTTAAATCATTTCACACTGCATCCTACCAACAAAAATTTTAAGTCATGACACACTATATCTCCATAAAATCATGAGACAACTATCCTATATGTTGCACTAACCCATATTAAAATTGGAGGGTATATTAAAATGCCAATGTTGAAAAATTATCCCCCCTCCCAAGTTAGTGTTAAATTTACAGACCTTGAACGCTAAAACCTGGGATTAACTTCCTTCCAGTGAACAGAGTACAGATAGTTCATTGTGTAGCTTTCCACTGATTAAAAACAACAAAAAACAATAAGTTATTTCCTAGAAATCCTTTCACGAGATAGTATAATTCTTACAACCATCACCACCATAAGTCAAATAATAATGCCACGGATATTTAAATGGCATTAGTTTAGTACATTAGGCTTTAGGACTAAACCATTGTTGACAGGATACATACAAAGATTTCCTTGATAAAGGGGTAAGATGAAATCCTGAACAACAAACAATAGTAACTCAGTCTCCTGGTGTTCAAAGTAATTTACTTCCATAAAAATAACAGATGTCTTCACAATACACATGGTAATTTACATAGAAATGATACAGAGCAGTGGGACATACATACCAAATAGTTACTGTTCCCTGAATTCATTTCCATATTACTTTAGGAATTCATGTAGTCTTTGAACAACTAATATGTTCATTATTCTACTTAAAGATTGCACTTAGAAATTCTAAAAACCAATTCAATGCAATAATAACAAAACAACTAAAATAAAGCACCAAAAAATACAAAGTAAAACTCAAATACTAAAATCAATGAATTATATATATATAGTGGAGAAATAGTAAAACTAGTAAGTTTTATAGGAACAAACTACATGTATTGCAGGAGTACAATAATACTGAGGAATGTATTGTTCATTTCAAAACATGAAATTCAACCGTCTAGACTTGCTCTATACCAATGAATTCTTATTTTTTTTCCATGAGTCACTAATCAACAAGAGTTAGACTGAATGGAAGATTGAATACTAGTAATTTTTTTAATTTGTTTTTTCTCTATAATTCAATGTAATTTATTGTCATTACTTTATATCATCAAAGTCTAAATCAACCCCTTACTTCTCTAACATGGCATCGCCTCAATAACCGCTGGATGTGTTATAACTCATGAGCTTTACAGATTTGTAGCTCACAACAAATAATCAAATTTTGGCTGCGTTGTAAATGATAATTATTGTTTGTTTTCTGGAATGCTGCCTTACAAGGATAAAGAAACTTAAAAATTCATGCACTCCATAATTCTTGAACCTACATACATAGATAAAGGAATTTATTATTAATATTGAAAGATTGTGAATAACATAGTTTATATAATCTTTGATAGATTTTTTTAGGCAGAGTATTTGTGAAGAAACTTAATTGAATTGATGGCAACTGCTTCTTGCGGACATACAAGTGGAGAGGACAGTGTTTCGAAAGTCTTCCACTTTTCGATACATCGTCCTCTACACTTGTGTTTCTACAACAGGCAGTTACCATCCATTCAACTAAGTTTCAACATAATTTATAATTCCATTACATTTTATAGTTTAACATTTGATGCCATACAGCCATTTGTGCTTACATCATTTTACAAAGTGAGAAACATTGCTGTACATAAAGTAGGTACTGCTATAAATAATACAGTTTATTATAAACTGTACGCTAATACTCTTAAAATTGTCACTTATTTGAAAAACAACAACATAAAAAACAGGTGTTGGAATCAGTTATTCAAGAAAAGAATTTGAAGTGGAAAACACACATCTGAAAAGATTAGCCATAGCATAATTATGGTCTTAGTCGTTTAAATTCCAGGGCCTATTACAGTTACCTGTACCACACAATGGCAGGTAAATATGAGTAAACGCAACCAAAAAGTTAAATTTTTCTTTTCTTTTGAAGGGAATAACCACGTTAGGAAATACCACATTAGAGAAATTGTATGTTTCTGAATTTGTTTGTCCACAAGCTCCTCCTAAAATTTTGTAGCTAGCAGAACCAAACTTGGCAAGTGGACTCTGGGTGGCCTGAATCAGGCTTGGGAATTTGTGTTTCAAAAACACAACTATTGTAAAACTCAAATACTATTATTAATGAATTATATATACATATAGTGGAGAAATAGTAAAACTAGTAAGTTTTATAGGAACAAACTACATGTATTGTAGGAGTACAATAATACTGAGGAATGTATTGTTCATTTCAAAACATGAAATTCATGCCCTCCAGGGGCATCATTTTTGAAACTGAGTTCATATATCCACACTCACAAGCTAATAGTAGCCAATGCAGCACATACTCACATGGTATTGAGCAGGATAAGTTTTCATGTACAGATCTTCCTTGACGCCACTATAAAAGTAATTCGAGATAACGGTGGAGCTTGATCAGTATATCGGGGCTTCTGTGAATAATGAGGGGAGGCCTTTGAACCCTGCTGTGGAGTGCAGGTATTTCATGTTATTAACAAATAATATTTTTAACATGCCAATCAACTATGATAAATCACTTCAATTAGACACTGTGGCATAGTGAGAGGTGGGGGCAGCTGCCTCGAGGCCATTCAGGGTCCCACAGTATTGGTATTTGAAATTTGGAATATTGAAGGGAAGATATTCTGAAAAATTAAAACAATTCTGCCCCAAGGATCTTTGAGACCTAGTTATGCTACTGCCCATACACAGAGTTCAAGTACAAGCATAAACTGTTGTATAATGAAAGTATTTAATCAAAAGATTTATTATGGATATAGCAAACAAAAACAAGGATTTTCTTCAGCCTACAAAAAAAAATACTTCGTGGTCTAAATTAAATGATTAAATTTGTTTATAAAAACATTAGTTTTAAACTATGAATGTTGTAGAAATCACTTTTTTTTTTCCCTAATAAAACTATGTCAGTTTATACGTTTAGAAAACACTCAACATTTCATTCAACAACATTACTGCACTGAAACAAGGTCATTCTTCTACCATGGCAGTAAAAATTCTTCATTTTTTACTACATTTTCAAATATTACTAAGAGAAGGATGTTCTTGTGTGTTCTTCCTATAAATTGAAACAAAAAAAAATATTATTTTTACTCTTTTTGTTTTCCCATCCAACCTAAGATGAACAGCTATAATTATGTGTTACTGTTTGGATGACAAAAACTAGCAGTGCTCAAATTGAAAGAAGTGTAAGTTATACTGTCCCTCTTATATTTATAAATACACAGTGAATTTAAGTTCCTCATTGATCAGTCAATAATCTGATGAAAATTAAGATTTAACAATAACTCTGCATAAACAACATTTAACGAAAACTAAAAACCAACTGTAGCAATGGTTGAAGGAGATAATATTTGTCACAAGGAGAATCAGTATGACTATATCTCAACACGCGCGTCTTAGTGAAGTTAAGTTAATCACTGAAGTCTCACCCTGAATTAACCCCTTAACTTTCAAGCCTAGAAAATTTCTGTGATGGTACTGTTTTGAATTCCCAGTTCATCTGAACAATTTACGTGCAATGTACAACACAGTTACATAACTTACGCATAGATGGCAGAACATGTCAGTAATACTGAAATTTCAAGTACAAGCTGTCAGGTCTTATGCAAGATATTTTCTACTTAAATTCTCCCAACCAAAAATAAGAAATTTAGAAGCAAGGTGTATAAAAGCATGCCCTAGAAAGTGGGAAATGTGTCACTGCTTTGAAATTTAAAATACCCAAAAAATGGCTGTAACTCTTGGTAAACTGAGGCAGAGGAACATGTAAATAACATTCATATGACAGCCACAGCATACACTCAAGTTCACATAACGTTATGCATATACAGAAATGTATGTATAAGGTTTTCAATGCTGAATGAATGCAAAAATAAAAATCTCACAATTTGTTTCAAAAAACATACAAGCTTGCCAGTATGAAAAACTGCTGAATAAGGAGTTAAAAAATCATGTTTTTTACACAGCCGTACCTTAATATAAATAACTAAAAATTACTTTACTTGTGATCCAAACAAGGACACTCCCAAATCCTCTGATCCTTGCCAAAGTTTTCACCTTCCTCCAGTGTGTGTGGCAAGTTCTTATGTAAAGTTTCTGGTAAGAACAAAGTCAACACCGTGACAATGAGCATCATAATGCCTGACACAAGAAGAGGAAGAGCTGGATTATGTAAGGCCTGAAAGAGAAGTGAGGAGGTTATATATATATATATATATATATATATATGACAATATGCATCATAATGCCTGACACAAGGAGAGGAAAAGCTGGATTATATAAGGCCTGAAAGAGAAGTGTGGAGGTTATATATATATGACAATATGCATCATAATGCCTGACACAAGGAGAGGAAAAGCTGGATTCTGTAAGGTCTTAAAGAGAAGTCTGAAGGTTATATATTTAATAAGTCTTTTAATTTAATTTCATCTACTGATTCAGTTTTTTTCTCAAAGTTTTTTTGTAATAATGCATCACCTCCTCTGAGTCATTTCATAACTATAGGCAGGTTTATTTAAAAGCGTAAAGGTAATGTTTTATTACTCATCACATCTCCTTCATCATAAACAAAGTAGTAGTAATAACACAAATAAATAAACATTCCTATACAAACCTAACAAATCACCATTATGGAATTTTTAGTGAGTTTGAAATGCCACTGGAATAAAGCAAATTAGATGTACATCTTTAAAGGAATCTATCCAATCAGATGTACATCTTTAAAGGAATCTATCCAATCAGATGTACATCTTTAAAGGAATCTATCCAATTAGATGTACATCTTTAAAGGAATCTATCCAATTAGATGTACATCTTTAAAGGAATCTATCCAATCAGATGTACATCTTTAAAGGAATCTATCCAATCAGATGTACATCTTTAAAAGAATCTATCTAATTAGTAACAGAAATTGAATCAATTAAAGTTGTACATAAATAAGATAACTATCCAGGAGTTATGGCATGAGATCAAATAACGTAGAAACATCAACTCTCTCTCAAAGGACTAATCATACTACTGTTTGGTTAGAGTGCTCAATTTGCAATCTGTGGGCCGTGGGTTCAAATCCCCATCACACCGAACATGCTGCCCTTTCAGCCATAAGGGCATTATAATGTGATGGTAAAAGAGTAACCTCAAAATTGATAATGGGTGGTGTTAACTAGCTGCCTTCCGTCTAGTCTAGCACTGGTAAATTAGGGATGGCTAGTGCAGATAGTTGTTACGTAGCTTTGCGTGAAATTCAAACCAATCATACTATTACTCAAACAGAATGAAAGAAGTAACTTAAAAGACAGATAAGGTTTTAATTCAACATAATAGGACAAATTACCAGGAACTGCAAACAAAAAAGCCTTTAAGAAAGAAACTGTTATTCAGTTATAACTACTATTTAGTAAATGAATGTCACATGTATAGGGTGGGGCAAAAGTCAGCATACAATTGGTACAGTTGATATTATACTGTTGATACTAATGAAAATATCAAAAAGACAATTGAAACTAATGTAATTATTGCTTGTTTCAGAGTGATAGTTAGAAATTAAACTACATTCTAAATTAAAGAATTGTATAGTCATTTTTGTCCCCACCTTATACAATCAATCTTGAATTCAGTGCAGGGTATATTAAAATTTAACAAAGCAGGAATTAAATGTCAACATCAGTTATATCTTTATTAATAATTTTTTGATATAATATTTTCCCTTTAATAATCAAATTATCAATGACTAGAAAAAAAAAAGTGTTGGCGAGATTCTCTTTTCATACCATTATGAGAGTATAATTCTTTTATTTAAACTATTGTTGCGTCAGCGAGGTCACGTGACTAGTGTCACGCGACTTCTCTCGAACTTTCGTGAATTGTCGGGAGATTACTAGATATAGGGTAGTCTGGTATATATAAGATGTTCACAACGTGACGGGATCATTGTGTGTGTAGGTAGTAAGTAATTGATCTGCAGTCAGAGTATTGTTGAAGTTAACCTTCGTTATAGCGTTTGTTTTAGCACGAATGTTGAAATTAAATGTATCATAAAGTTATATTCAGAAAGAATAAACCAGTTTTATTAAGTAAGGACATGTGTCGCTAAAGTTTCGTCGGAACGAAGTTACGGAAAATTAATTAACAAACGGAGACGTAACACTATCTTTATAATGAAATTGTATTCCTTGAAAGAAGTCTTGACAATCATTGTATTATGACACAAGAGAAAATTTACCAACTTACCAAGTAAACAATTGTAGGACTCAGATAAAGACCCAAAGTTCCCATAACTCGAAGAACAGCCAGGCCTCGTCCTCGGAGAGAAGTGGGGTAGATTTCTGCTGAATACTGCATGATGATGTTGTATTCTGTAGTTATAGTTACACGCATTACAAGGGCTAGGCCAAGGAATGATTGTGGGGAACCTTTTAGAAAAGCAACAAAACCGCTTTATTATTTATTCAGTTGCTTTTGTTCGACATAACTTATGTGCATATTCCAAACATATACACTAACTCAGGGGCTAATTCTCAAATGGGATACTGCAGGAAATGGTCACAGAGTTGTAACAAATACACATTACTGTTTAGGTGCTAAAGTATTGGAAGTATTAATGAGATATGCTTTTTTTATGTGAGCATCATTAATATAATTTGTTATAATAACTAAAATGATTTTTAAAGTCATTATTTAGGACTGTTAGTAATTTCTATATTCATTATGATTTTGCATTATTACATGTAGTTTAATATAGAGATTTAGGACTAACTTAAGTCAAATCTTGTGATATATTATTCGGTCTAGAGCTGTAAATGTTATTAATGATGAGGGTGTCCAGCTGATAAATCAGTGGAATCTAACTGTAAGTGTTATTAATGACAAGGGTGTCCAATTGATAAATCAGTGGAATCTAACTGTAAATGTTATTAATGACAAGGGTGTCCAGTTGATAAATCAGTGGAATCTAACTGTAAATGTTATTAATGATGAGGGTGTCCAACTAATAAATCAGTGGAATATAACTGTAAATGTTATTAATGATGAGGGTGTCCAACTGATAAATCAGTGGAATATAACTGTAAATGTTATTAATGATGAGAGTGTCCAACTGATAAATCATTGGAATCTAACTGTAAATGTTATTAATGATGAGGGTGTCCAACTGATAAAACAGTGGAATATAACTGTAAATGTTATTAATGATGAGAGTGTCCAACTGATAAATCATTGGAATCTAACTGTAAATGTTATTAATGATGAGGGTGTCCAACTGATAAAACAGTGGAATATAACTGTAAATGTTATTAATGATGAGAGTGTCCAACTGATAAATCATTGGAATCTAACTGTAAATGTTATTAATGATGAGA